TATCATCATTAGAATCATTCATTTGGATAATAAAAAGTTATTCTATATTGACCCCCTCTTACTATTAGTAATTAATTTAAATCTAGAGGATTGATGAGAGAATAAATTAGGATAATTAATTTTAACTACCTTAATATAGATAAAAAATTAGAGGACTTTTTGAATAACCCCTTATAAATAATTTCTTATTGTCCTTGTAAAGTAAATTCATTTATTAAATCACTTATATAAAGGTAACATTCGCTAAATTATATTATTAATTATTACATGTATATGTAGGATAGAGTCTTATACAGTCAGACAGGTTTGTCTTAAAACTTTTGCTTCGGTCATTTTCAATGCGTTCAGATGACCAAAACAAACAGAAAATACTATTCAAGGGGGATCTAAGAATCTCCATGATTTATTGTAAACAAGAGGATAATTAAAGAAACTCATAAAAAATAAGAGGTAAAATAGAGAAATGCCACTACAGAGTAAAAAAGAATGAGATGGTTATCGATTTCTCTGATAATTTTGGAAAAATTGCCCAATTTACCTCTCTGGCAAACTATTAAATCTAATTAATGACATATATACTGAATTTTGAGATATAAAATCCTAGAATCAGTAGAAACTTTTAGTTATCCCCCTATAGATTAACTTGCCCTCTTAAAATAGTTTAATAAAAATTCTAAATAAATGAAATAAACTTTTGTATTAGATGAAAGAAAGTTGCTGTACTAAAAGGAAGTTTAAAAATTTAATAAAACACTACAAAAAATATATATTTAATACTTATTTATAGATTCAATCTTTTCTTAATAAATGAGTGACGTACCCCTGTTTTCAAATGTAGAAATAAATTCATTTTAATTAAGATTAGTTTTCATCAAAAAATTATAACGCTGTCCTCTTAGTTTTAATTTTACATTTTTTTAGTAAGAAAACAAATACACAATAGAGATTTATGATTTATCTAGATTTCTAACAATATAATACTTTAATAATTTATAATGAGAGCATTATCATGCTTAATTAAATGTAAGAGGGAAGATTAAGTTAGGATATTTTCAAATAAGTAATTTAGGTTATCTGTAACATTAGATTCAATCTTAATTTTAATATCCTATATAAAAAAATAATAATTATCAATAATTACAATTTAATCAGTAAGAAAAAATGGATGAATAATATTCAAGATCTTCAAACAATTTTGTAAGAAATTAATCGAAACATAATACTTTCGGTTTGAATTCCTTAAAATAATAGAAATATTTATTTTGATTTTAAGAGAAAGGTATTATTCAATTTAAGAAAACAAATAATAAACAATAATCAAATTTATGGTCCATAAAATTTTTGATCAAGAGCAATCAACTATTCAAATAAATGATAATGAAACTCTGCTTTCTTAAAGATTAAAAGATATTATATTATGTAATTTCAAAGAAAAAAGATTCAAAAAAATTTTGTCTGAGTCGATAATATTACGAATAAGAATTTACAAAAAACCATTTCGAAAATCAAATGTGTATAAATATGAAACTTATTAAATCAATGTTTTAACTAACTTATATTTAGGTAAAACTAAAAAATTCTTAAATACTGTAATTTAGAGATTTCCTAATAAAACCATCATAAAAGAAAAATATTACTTTGAAATAATAATAAAATATTTAAGATCTAATAATATTAATTTCATTTTTTTTTTTCTATGTCAAAATTCTTTAGATCAATAAATTTTTATAATGGATTGTAAAAGTATCTCATAATTCTCATTTTCTCTTTCATTTTTTCTTTCTTTAGATGGTTAGAATAGGCTATTTTCGCTTACTCGAAGATGTCAACTACCAAGGAAAAGGCTATTAAAAAAGAAAACAAACCTATATTTATCCATCCATAAATTATATATTCTTCATCATTTAATTCTAAACTATAAACTAAAAATGATCCTGTGTTGATTAATAGTATTACTTCTCTACAAATTAACTTTGCTTATTCAAAATTTGATTTTACTGGTCTAAAGAGGATCAAGTAGGTTAAATTAAAAAAATGACTGCATCGAAAGTAAGATTGATTATGCTTCAGGATATCTTATGAATTCAATTATAATTGTAATAATAAAAACAGTTTTATAATTTTGAAATGGCTTGTAATTAACCTGCCCAAAAATAAGGTTTTTTGAATCTTAAAAAAAATAACTTTCCTTTTTTTGTTTTTCCCTTTATTTTTAAAAAGGTTTGTTAATGGGAAAAGCAATTTTTTAAAAATT